TGAAGATCGTCGTTTTTCGATTTCGTTTGTCGTTTCGACCGTCGATTTCTTCTAGACGTGTTATGAATCCTTTCATTTATGCTGTGTGTTTTTCTTTTAAGTTCTGTGTAAAAATCAACCTGTCATTTTTCCAGAGGGCAGAGGGTTGGATGAATATTGTAAAAATCATAAATTTATTAAGAATTCTAAGCTAATTATAAACTGTATTTAAAAAGGTATTGTATAAATGATTTTAATATTTTATATCAATAAAAAATTATGTTTTAGCTTAATTTTCACAAAACCCGAATAGGTCATGTTTTCAGAGGGTCTTCTTTGTTTAATTTTGGTATAACAGACATACAAACAATAGTATGTGAATAGTTTGTGCCTACATAAATGAAAAAAAAAATTCATTATTTTGTTTCATTTTAGTTAAAACATTCAATTAAACTGGAATTTAAGTAAGCATTGTTTGTTTAAGCAAATAAACATTAATATGATTTTTTAAGCCAGTCAGCAGTTTTTTGTTTGCAACTACAATACGGTCTTGAAATACTTTGTCACGTTACTCGCATTACCTTGATGGTTAATGTTTTATTTTCGTTAATAGTATAGTTACATTCTTGGTCGATGCAGGAATCTAGTAATGGCCGTGTGGATAAAATCGCGGAAAACTGGTAGTTACACACGATCTCAAATCCCGGCAAATCCTGCATGAGCATTTTCGCCGTTTTTCCTGTGCATACTATTTTATTTAAAACATGCAATTAAAATAGAATTGAAATTCCATTTTAGTTGAAACATTCAATTAAATGGAATAATTAAAATGGAATTCAAATTCCATTGAATTAGCGTTAACCGTGTATACAAGCCGCTTTCCTCAAGAAATACCTCCGCGATGGCATTCCTTCCTTAAGCAGAGTTGTCTCAAGAGTGTGCTTTGCCGTAATCCTGTAAATCCAAATCTAAGTCTTAAAAAATGAATAGTAATAAAACAAAACAACAAAAAGCAAAATTACATTAAACAGTATATTGTTTTGTTATAAGTGTGATTTTTTACAGTGGAGTGCATTATTTGTTCAACAACGACATATCGATATTTTACATATTTCAGTCCTACGCCTCAAATTATGCCAAAGTGCCAACTAAATCTTTAATCTAAAAATCGTCCAAATAGTTTTTAAGAAATTAGTTCTCGAAATCTTAGCTCCTGAGTGTTAATTGAATTCGATGTATATTTAATAATATGTCTTTTTTTATTTAACTTACTTGATTCTTTCTTGCACATTCCGAAATTTAGGCTTAATCCAAATAAAATTCGCACATTTTCTTTATGATTTATTTTTTAAATTTGTATTTTTTAGTAATTATCGTGAATTTTACGGAAAACTTTTGAATTGTTAAATTTTCACCATCACCTTAAAGTAGATGTATTTCTAGGCACACTTGCAAAATATTTGAGTGTTTTTATTCAAGACTTCCCAAGATATACGTAAATTTAGATAAGGACGCGCTTTGAATTTTGGTGTATTTGTTATTAACAATAATAACGCCAAAAGTGGTTTACACACTTTGTTGTAATTGCTTGAAAACTCAACGATGCACCTTTTTTTTTGCTCGTACGCAATGAAAGGGAAAGGAAAATAGATTATCATAAATTAAGAATTTCGCCAAGTGAATTAGTCTTGGCGCAAACTTAAGAAGAATATGCCAAGATAAATTTTTTAATTTCTCGGTAATTTTCTCATTACGTTTTACAAAATTTAATATTTAGGCATAATTTGAGTTGTAGATTCGAAATAGGGGAAAAAATTGGTATGTCTAGAAAAAGTCCCGATTTTGTGTTAAAATACCTACGCTAGAACAATGCTTTATATAAATATAATATATATCCTAAGTCACGCTTTCGAGAGATGAAAAACGCAAATTTAATTTCGTCAGTCAGCCCAGTAAAAGGGTAGATATCAAACTGCCCCCCTCACTTTTGTGTGTGCAGAGTGTATTTATTTACGTGTCTCTTGATATTTTTATATTGAATTAGTTAAATTCTTTTACTGTTTTGAAAAATTTTTGCCTCATCGTTTAAAGTTATCATTTGGTTAATGTAATCAAAGTAGCATTGATACGTGAGCGCATTAAGTCGCGCCTATTGCAGATACAAGAATTATACGATCCAATTATTATATTTCTATCAAGTAATTCAGTTTCGCAAATTAAATCAACATACTTCAGCTTCGCCTTGAATTAATCGATAAGAGCTCAGAAATCTCAAAAGCGAATATACGGTACTCTTTCACCAAATTCATTTATCATCTTACCCCGTTTCTTATTAAAATAACAAAACATACTCTACTACTACATCGCGGCTTCGAATGAAATTATTCCAGAGAGAAGTGTTTTTCATCTGAAGGACAACAATTTTCCTCTTCGTTACCATGGAAACCCGACAACTGTTTTTGTTGATGCCGCTGATATAGCTTTTTCCTGTATTTTCTCAGTAGTTGGCATGTCATCCGCGAAGATGGCAATTTTATTTCTTTGCTGTTGTCACTTTTCCGGAATATTCTGTAATAAAATTAATGTATTTTAATAAAATGATGAGACAGCAATTACGGGCAATTCAGGAAGAAAATGTGAAGCTCCTTTCGCTTGCTTAAGACATTTCAGTTATATTTTAATACCTTGATCCATTAATTTTTGACAATAGTATCATACCGTGATCAAATTCAGGAACAATAAAATGATGGTTTCTTATAGAGGTTCCAGTCATTTTTTTTTTAATTGATAGAGCTAAGAGAAGCAAAATTATTTTATTATCTTTACATGAAAAAAGAATACAATTAAAAGATGTGGGAAGATTTTATTTTTTAATAATAAAAAAAAACAATATATTACACCCAAAGGGGCGTTTCTTTAACGTTTTTGTGTGTCACTTTTATTTATTAATTATCATGTTCTTCGCACTTTAATCACATAAAATTCAGTTCAACAGCAATATCACAAAATATTTAAAAAGAGCGTATCTTTAGAATTTCCGATACACAGTCTCGCGCGCTGGAGATAAAAATGTTTTTCTTTCCGTGCAGTTCTGCATTGCTCGCTTGGAAATCGTTGAGTTTGTTAATCAAAAATTCGTTCAACGTTTTACAAAATATGAAATAGATAATAAAACAAACTCCAAATTTGGGTTTCCTGATGCCCATATTCGAGTGCAGAAGTACGTTATTCAAAATTTTATGTCTCTAGGTACCGTTGTTTTTACACAGTGCGAGAAACATCCATGCATTCAAGGAAATTCTTCATTATTTGGTTTCTTTAAATATAACACATGGCGATAATGTTTGATGGCTACAGTTTGCAAAGTGAATCAAAGCAGAAAGTAAAACAATGCAAAATACCGTTTTGAGACTAATAGCCCTTTGGGTCTAACGATTCTTTGGGCTATAAAAAAAATGCAATCTCAAAACTTTGGCTATCTTTCTATCTATTTTTAACTTTTTTTGAAAGAGTTAAAAATAGATAGCTAAATAAATGCAAATAGAATATAAAATAAATTAATAAGTAATAAAATTAACATAGTCTTCAGATTTTATATTACGCCTAAAGGGGTGTTTTTTAACGTTTTGTGTTTTATTTATTTATTAAACATCATGTTCTTCGCTCTGAAACCATAAAGTTCAATTCAACAGCAATATCACAAAATAATTTAAACGGAGAAATCTTTAGAATTTCCAATGATATTTCTCGCGATAATAATTTCTGATAATAATCTCGCGCGCTAGAGATAATTTTGCTTTTTTCTCACCCGTGCAATGTTCCCATTGCTCGCTTTGAAATCGTTGAGTTTGTTAAAAAATAAATTCGTTAAAGTTTTACAAAATGTGAAATAGATAATAAAACAAATTCCAAATGTGAGGCTTCCAGGTTCCTATATTCGAGTAAAATACTAGGTTCTTCAAAATTCTGTAGGTACCATCATTTTTTCCACAATGCGAGAAACATACATACATTCATGCAGATTCTTCAATATTTTATAAGGTGTTTCTTCCGTCTTTTTAGCGTGCCTTTGTGGTGTAGTGGTCAGCACGATCGACGCGTATTTGAGACGTCTGTGGTTCGATTCGCGGGGGGCATTGCTCAGTTTTCATCTCCCCTGCTTCCAAATAACCTAATGTTTGTACGAGGCCCACCAGCGGCCGAGCGGTAAAGTCGCTGAACACTGGTAGTTCGGTCCGAGGTTCGAATACCGCGAACGGGCTGGCTGCATGGGCGTTTTCGTGGTTTTCCCCATGTGTAACGTGTATACGAGCCAGTTTCCCTTAGAAAGTCCTCCACGAAGGCATCCCTCCTCTTAGGCAGATAGCCCTCGAGGCTTTGCCATAATCACAACACACACACACACACACTTAATGTTTGTACAGTGGCGGCCGAACTTAAAGGTCGTGAATGATGATTCTTCACCACCAGGATTTGGCAATTGGGTCCCCTAAAACCCCAGTCGCCCTTTAAAAGGGGGTATATAAGGTATTTCTCCCGCCTTCTTAGCATGCCTTCGTGGTGTAGTTGTCAGCACGCTTGACGTGAATTCGAGAGGTCCGTGGTTCGAGTCTCGGCGAGGGCATTGTTCATTTATCATCTGCCCTCTTTCGAAATAACCTAATGACTCTATAGTTTAATTTCTTTAAATATAATGCAGGTATGTAATATTTGGTGGCAACAATTTAAAAAGTGAAACGCCGTTTTTAGTGAAAAAACGCAAAAATCCAAAACGAAATTAATAGCCCTTCTGGGCAAATTACCCATTTGGCTAAAAAAAAGGTTTTTATACAATAACATCAGAACTACACGAATAAACCAATAATATCTAAATCGTATCGAAAAATTACCTACTCGGAGATTACGTGAGGAGCTGTCATACGCGATTAAATGTGGCATGTCTTAGTACGCACAATATACGCCGTAATCCATCTGTACTTGTAATATCTGTAAATCTAATTTTTTATTCTATTATTTTTCAGCCCATCAATCTTGCTCAGTTTGGAGAACTGGAGAGTGTGGAAGTGACGCGAGAGGATGACTTCTCTTATAGAATCAGGATAAGGCTCCGGCATCCGGAAAAAGAGGTAAGTCTTGTAAGTGCCCTCGCTTTTATTTTTCGAAATTATTACGTACAATTAGTACAAAATATTAATTTCATTATTAAAACTTATATAGCACAGTTTATATCAATTTTAATAAAAATTTGACTAAAGAGAGGGTGGTGTTGGCACATTTTTAGAACGACCTCGGAACCGTTTAATTATTATAGAAATTTTAAAGAACAATTTTTCTAATGTTCTTCTAATGTTCGATCTGAATGTTTTCTAATGTTCGATCAGAATCGAATGTTCGATCTTTCGTTTTGGACTATTAAGTCTGCGGCTTGATTTCCAGAATAGTAGGGTGTTTCGTAAAATATCCAGTGGTACTGATTTCAATTTCTTTTCCACTACTTTCCAGGGTCCATCCTGGTGGGTTTGCCTTTAGAAAGAGCTCTTCTCTAGAGACTAAAGGCACTGTAGTCCGTCCATAGGTGAAACGTGAAGGGACTTTGCAGAAATACGTTGAAAAGTTATATATGCAATATCTCTATCAGTCTTCATTTTTTTCAACGAATACAGTGGCACTTTCCGAAGTATGACTTGTTGCTTTGTCTGGATGAAGTTTCTTTCTTTGAAAGTCATTGGAATAAAGAAATGGAATTTTTTCTGTAAATATCAGCCGTAAAACGTTCTTTTGATAGTACGTTGAGTTGATTTTAACATTTTTTCTTTTTTTCACTTTTCCAGCTTTTAATTTCCCGCTATAAGAGAATCCTGAGAAAATTATAAACCCTTCACTGAAACTTTCTTTGCATTCGTGAAGCCACATTTGACAGTTTTTTTTTCTTTCGTTTTGGATGATAAATATTCCTTTTATTGTTGCAGTCGTTTAAGTAAATCAATGCTTCGTTAAGAGTAAAGACGTATTTCTATTTTTCCATGCTAAATAGTTTGCATGCAGAGTCCTACTATTTTTTCTGCGTTGATCCACATGCCTTGGTAAACGCTGATGTATATCATGTTTTCTAGCTTTTTAAAGTGGTAAACCTTGGTTTATTATTTTGGGTTTATTATTTTATTTATTGTTGCTATAAATGTATTTAAAGAATCTGCGATTGATTTCTGCGTCGGCGGATTTTCTCTTGTTACTAACGATTTAACGTTAGATTAGAAACATTAGAAACAATGCGGACCTTTTTTGAGTGCACGTTTGGAGTCTTTTGTTTTCCCCATATAGAAGTAATATTGACGGATTTCTCTCCCCCCCTTCCGATTAATAATGCTGTTTATTTTTACTTAAAAATTTCAATACCATACATTTCGTAACGTTTTTGAATAATTGAATAAGAATATGTCTCTTTGGACATATTGAAAACTATGACATTTTGAAAGAAGAATGAATTTAAAAGTAGCAGAGGATATTTCTCATTTAAAATAGTAAGTTGTTGCCAGAAATTTTTATTCCAAACCATTTGCTCTTTTTTAAAATTTTTTATCGAAATTGTTCTAAAATTGTGTAAACTTCCTCTGTATTTAAAAGAAGAATTCGCTGATAGCTAAACACTTTGCTACATTATTCTTAAATATAATTGCATATTTTACTTTAACTTGTTAGAAATTCTTGTAGAAAACTTGCTGCTGGAAGGTTTATTTGTGCATGCATATGGTATTTAAATTTTGCAGAGTTAAAAAGAATATGCTAGCAAAACTGAAATCGCTTAATTTGAAATATTTTAATGGGCTTCATTTTAGCGCCTTCTGTTCGAAATTTCTTTCGTCCTGCCCCCCTCCAAGTCTTTAATTGAATAATAAATATCCTGACTTTCAAATTCGTATTTGGAGTTATATTTGAATGCAAGTATCTGTCTATAAAAATTAAATTCTTACGCTTTTAATGTTTTTTTTAAATTTTAATAATTGGTTTTTTAACAATAGTTAGAACTTCCATTTGGACATTCTGCTGATGCTTGTACAATATATATATAGATATAGATATATTATATATATATGCATATATTGTGCTGATGCAATATGGTGTTCTGCAATTTACATACGATCCCCATCAATTAAATAATTGAAGTAAATATTATTGATATAATTATTTGTTTCAAATCTTGCACCCTCTGGAAAATACTTTACGAACGGCCGTGAATTACTATTTGTTATTATCATTTTAGATTTTTTTTAATCATCTGGATACCTAGTTCAAAGACAGTCATTCACCTCCATTCGAGGACGGAGAAGATTCAGATTAAATTGAACTACTAAAAACTGTGAAATTGTGCACACGCGTACAATACTGATGTTGTTCTTAAACGTTTCTGAATTTTTGTTACGATGTTGTCCGATTTTGTACTCATGGGGAACGTGGTTAAAATTATTTCTTTAGTAGTAAGGCGTGGAAAATAGCTCCAAGTATCGAATTTCGAGTAGATATTATTCCTATACTTATAAGGAGCAGGACTTCGCGTAATGTATGTTTCACATAACAGACGGTACCTCAAGAACAGGTTTCGTTCAATATCTTAGGTATCACTGCACTTGTAAAGCTAAGACCGCGTTCCCCGTAAAAGGAGTAAATCATATAAAAATGTTTCCGCAGTGTTAAACGTGTTTCGCATTTAACCCTTAGCAGGAAAAGTCTTCGTTAACCTGCTTCCGTAAAATAGCATCTGAAATTCCATATCAGATTCATAATAATTTCTTCCCCCTCGTCCATTAACGAACTAAGAAGTGTGAAGATTTCAAATGATACCGTTTCTAGTTCTAACAAAGAAGCTTCCATTAACCCTTGAGTGTATACTAAGCCACTTTTAACCTTAAAGAACCACAAAAGAATCCTTTTACTACCAATATGATGCATTTAGGGAAACCCGCCTTAAGCTGCTGTGTACTTTAGGAGGAGGTTAGAAGCATTGTATGGTGATGTCGGCCATTCGGGCAGCCGTTGTTCGTTTGAATGATAGGGCGTTTCGGGCGTTTTGGCCGTAAAAGTGTTAAGGATTTTATGGAGGTTTGAATGATTTTGATGGCATGTGAAAAAAAATTAGACTCATTTTTCGAAGCTAAGAAATTTAACTTATCTAGTTAACTGATTTAGAAATCAAAATTTATTTAATTTAACCAATGGAAAACGTTAATTTTGAATTATGAAATCGAGTAAACAAATTTCTAACTTAACATGCATTGTTTGTTCTGTAATTAACTGTTCTCCATTTCTACAGTGCCTAAATATCCTGATGGAGGACAGGGAAACGGAGGAGTTCGTTCTGGTTCTAGAAAGGTATTACAGTCAGTTGATAGGAATGGAACTTCCGGTCGATTGGGAAAACAGGGATCCAGAACCTGTGGAAAGAGGTTTGTATCTTTTTCATAATCTCCCTTTAATGTTTCCATTTTCAGCCACTTTGTACATAGAAACTATTGGGTCTTTTGAAGAGAAAACATAAAATATCTCTGTGTCTTTGCCGAGATACGACCCTGGGATCTTCCGATTATTAAATGGACATGCTTAACATTTACACCAGGAATGTTCGTATGGTGGAATGCAATTATTTCTTTGCAATCTGCTCCACTTAAAGGCCTGCCGAGGAAAGGTACGAAATCCTGTCTACCAAATACGGGTGCTCGTCCACTACACTTTACTATCTCTGGCGCCTTATAACTATTATTATTATTATTTTAATTAGGAAGCATAAAAAATTCAGACTTGCACTTAGCGAGATTTGAACTGTGAATCTTCCGATTGTTAGCTGGCACTTAAACCATGAGAGCACGTACGTGAAGATACGCTAATTATGTATAAATACCTTCAATAAAACGGTTTATGCGATAAAACAATTCTACAAAAAATAGAGGGTCATCTTTAAGTCATTAATATATTATATTTTTTAAAAAGATCTGATGTGGACATATCTTGATTTCCTTGTATGGCCTATTAAATTATACACATTTTTTTGTTGCACTACGTTTAAACTTAATTCCTCGAATTATTCTAACCTGAATAACAGATACCTCAAGGCAAATTGAAAATGACATCAAAAATTTCAAAATTTGAAATTAAGTATCCCGGTTAATTTTTTTCCGTCTGGGAGTCAAACTTCATCGTTTTTTTCCATAACCAGTATAAAACTTCCTAATAAAAAAACTAAAATATAAGAACTATCATATGTAAGAAGCGGAGGCCACATTAAATATTAGACTTTGTTACTTCTCGAAACTAAATTTTAAAAAAATATTTTCGACCGATAAAAAACGGCAAATTAAAATTTAAAATAATAATAATAATTTTCGACAAATAACGAAATCTAACTTTTAATGTGTTTTTCTGGTTCTTATACTTTATACTTGAAGTAAAATTAGAAAATTTTGACTCCCGAATGGCAAAAGTTCACCGAAATATTTAATTTTAAAAAATTTGCAGTTTTTGTTGTCATTTTCAACTTGCCTAAAGGGATTGGTTAATTAAGTTTGAATAAATAATTCGAGGAAATAAGTTTAAATCGAGTGCAACAAAACTCAGTAGGAAGTCACATGATGGCCACATCAGATTTTGTAATGTGTCAAAATTGTTGGACCGCCCTGTATTACGGTTTAAAGTTAAAGATATCAACGTACGTTATGTGATAAATGTCTAGCATGTTTATGTGCTGGATGTTTTGCTTCCTGGCCAGATTTATTGAAATAGAAATTTATCCATTTATTATAAATTCCAATAAAGCAGTGTTATTTGACGTTCATATTAATTTAGATTGCAACATTTCCATTTGCATGACATTTATAATAGCGAACGATTCATGCTGTCTCGCTTGCATTATGAAGTGACACCGAATGTCTGATACCCTTATTTCGATTAATCGATTTCTAATTTATCATAACTGGTGTTCAATACATCAAGCAGTTCGTGCAACTGTATAGATTGAATACAAGATTAGAATTCCTGTTTGTCCAGTCAGGTCATTTATAGGAACTGCCACATCTTTCGTAGCAGTGTACCGAGTGACTAATGTTTTAAGAATTTACTGTTTATTAATGACCGAACTTGATTAATGACAAATACGGATCAGTTTTATTGCATTAAAAATTAATTTGCAACAGATGGGACTGTGTAAATTTAAAATGCTAAAAAAAACTTCAGTGCTTAAAAAGTAATATTTGTGTTAGTGGTAGAACGATTTAAATTATATCTCTGTTCTCTGTACTACATTTTTAGCCCAAAGCTACGTTAGACCCAAAGGTCTATTAGTCTCAAAACGGTATTTTGCGTCGATTCACTTTTCAAACTGTTGCCATCAAATATTATCACAATGTATTATAATTAAAGAAACTAAATAATGAAGAATCTGCAGGAATGCATGAATGTTTCTCGCATTGTAAGAAAACAACGGTACCGAGAGCCATTCAATTTTTAATAACATAGTCCTCCAACCGAACATGGGCACTTGGAAGGCCAAAATTCCAATTTGTTTCATAACTTATTTCAAATTTTGTGAAACTCTAACGAATTTTCTATTAACAAATTCAACGATTTCAAAGCTAGCAATGGCAACACTATACGAAAAAAAAAAAACATTTTTATCTGCAGCGCACGAAACTATGTATCGGAAATTCTAAAGATATGCTGTTTCTAAATATTTTGTGATATCGCTGTTGAATAGAACTTTATGTGGTTTTAAGTGCGAAGAACATGATATTTAATAATAAAAATAAGTAACACACAAAACGTTAAAAAAAGGGCGTAATATATAATATGGAAGCTTTCAGATTTTCTTTCTTTTTCGTTTTGTTTCAAATGTTTTCAATAATTAATAAATTAAATTATTCATTATTGCCAAAAGAGCTCGTGTGCAAAGACAATAATCCCTTTTTCTATTAATTATTTTTTTAATTGTGTACTAACTCTACTAGATATGTTTTTAATTGTCACAAGTTTAAAAATTACTTTAGTAAAATCTGAAAGATCTAAATATTATAGTTTTGGGAAAGTTTAATTACTAATACAGGTGGGCGCGTCAACAGTTCATTTAAACTCGTATTTTAAAAAACACTCCACACAAGATCACAATGGACTGTATCACTAATTTATTTTTTATATAGACAACCGAATAATTTACATGCCTCGGCGGCGTCTCAGAACACACGCAAAAACAAGCATTGGATCATCTCGTGGCACATTTAGAATATAAAATATTACACATTTGTTGATTGATGGCGCTTCTCGCATCAACAACAGAATCATGCATAATGAATGAAATATTTTGATAAGTATAATTAATAAGCAGATAAACTACGCAATTGGTGCCAAATTTTATTTAAAAATAAACACTGGTGGTAAAAGTTCTGGAAACCTGCGCAAACGGGGGGAGGGTGCGCTAAGAAAGTATTCATGACAAACTGAAGTTGAACTAAATCGCTGTATTTATAGAATCGGATTAGAACCGTTCTCTCACTGAAACGAGTCAGTTCGTTTTTATGCCTCACCGCTAACTAAAACTAACTTTGATAAATAAAATCTGAAGGGAGCGGTGAATCAAGAGCGGTTAAAGAAAATCGAGCGAAGAGGGAAAATAATCGAGTGAGCCGTTGGATCGGAAGAATCCATCAATAAAACACTGAATCCTTGATTTGGTATCTTTCAAATGTAGTTTTTACATTCCCTAAATCCTCTTTTCTATACAGAACTAAAAATAAGATTTTGAAAAAGTTAATGGAAATGATAAAAATTAACTCAGTTTTAACCTGGGAGATAAACATTCTTTTCTCCCTGCAAATGGGAATCTAACTTTCCTGGCATGTTTCTATCAAGAATTCCGCTCCTTTTTTCCGGAATCAGGTTCTCACTTAGTAAAGTGAAGGATTTCGTCAATATGAGTAGCAGATCTCCATTCCTGGCATGCTTCCAACTACAGCTGCCCATGAACTGTAAAAGAGCAACAAATCCTTTCTCTGGAATTGGTGTGAATTGGCTTTTCCCATTGGTGGCGAATTTCGATTGAGATACTCTTTCTCTATCTTTGTGGCAAATATTGACTGAGATAGTCTCGCAGATTCGTTAACGCTTTTTCTGGTACTGAATAAAGCAACTACCTTTTGAAAATTTTCATTATTGTTGTCACTGACTCTAGCAAGCTCCCAACATCTCATGTATATCCACCCAGTAGCACACAAATTTCTGCCGTTCCAGCAAAAGTGAACATACTGAGCGTTTGTGAAATATGCTTAAAAATAAAAAATAAAATAAAATAAAAGTCAACTACTTACTTTGAAATGAACACGTACAATGAATTAATATTACGGGGGGGATTGAAATCTTTCAGATTTTACATTGGGCCCAAAGGGGCGTGTATCTGACGTTTTATATGTTACCTTTATTAATTAAATATCATGTTCTTCGCACTTAAAACATCAAATTCAACGGCAGAATCACAAAATAACTTTTAAATGAGCATATCTTTAGAAATTCCGATACACAGTCTCGCGCGCTGGAGATAAAATTTTTTTTCTCCTTTCAGTGTTGCTATTGCTCGCTTTGAAATCGTTCAGTTTGTTAAAATCAAAAATTCGCTAAAGTTTTACAAAATATGAAATCTGTACATGTAATAAAAGAAAGAGTCTGTGTGTCTTTCGTACCAAATTTTATTACATTAAAATAGAGTAATTAAATTTTCTTTTTTAGCCCGAAAGGGGTTACTCAGAAGGGCTATTAATTTTGTTTCGGCATTTTGCGTCGAAAATTTTAAATGTCCGTTTCACTTTTTAAATTGTTGTCACCAAATATTATCGCACTGTGTTATATTTACAGAAACTAAATAATGAAGGATCTGCATAAATATATGAATGTTTCTCGCATTGTGATAAAACAACGGTATGTACAGTCATCAAATTTTGAAACAGCGTAGTCTCCACCGAATATGGGCATCTGGAAGCCCTAATTTGGAATTTGTTTTATTATCGACTAACAGCTACGCGGCCAGCCTTCGTCTGGCTCTTAAATGTAGTGGAAAAATGACATCCTGCAGGGAAACTCACCAAACGTTTACCCAATACCTCTAAAAACTGCGCAGAATCCAAGTGAAATACTCCGCAAATTTAAAAACTGCACAGAATTATCGTCATCATTTTTCCAAGTGGCAACAGTGCTGATTTTCAACAGTCAGCAGTCCAGTATACAATTGAATGAAAAACTGTTGCCAAAACCACATTTCTAAAAGAATGAAACTATTCACAATGATGCGATAAAATTAAAAAAAATCTGATTCGAATTTTGAAAAAATCGCTTCGAGGTGCACTGGCTCTTGTTTAGATGCACCTATATAAGGAATTTCGTAGCCCTGGGTGTATTAGTGTAATAGTTTCATTCTTTTAGAAATGTGGTTTTGGCAACAGTTTTTCATTCAATTGTATACTGGACTGCTGACTGTTGAAAATCAGCACTGTTGCCACTTGGAAAAATGATGACGATAATTCTGTGCAGTTTTTTGCGGAGTAAAATTCTGTGCAGTTTTTAAATTTAACGTTTGGTGTTCCCTGCAGGCATTTTTCCACTACATTTAAGAGCCAGACGAAGGCTGGCCGCGTAGCTGTTAGTCGATAATAAAACAAATTCCAAATTAGGGCTTCCAGATGCCCATATTCGGTGGAGACTACGCTGTTCAAAATTTGATGACTGTACATACCGTTGTTTTATCACAATGCGAGAAACATTCATATATTTATGCAGATACTTCATTATTTAGTTTCTGTAAATATAACACAGTGCGATAATATTTGGTGACAACAATTTAAAAAGTGAAACGGACATTTAAAATTTTCGACGCAAAATGCCGAAACAAAATTAATAGCCCTTCTGAGTAACCCCTTTCGGGCTAAAAAAGAAAATTTAATTACTCTATTTTAATGTAATAAAATTTGGTATTGGCTGCTTTATTTATTATGAATTTTTAAAAGTCTCGTGTGCTTATCCACCCTGTATTATTTACAGTGTTTCGAAAATTTCGAGGTGTAACAATCTGCGTAATTTTCTGTTATGATTCTATTCCTGGTATCTCTATTATAATTCTTCCCCAGTTATTTTCGAAACCATGCGACAAAGAAAAGGAATTTTCTTTCTAATTTAATTGCTGCCATAAGGCATAAAATAACAGTCCGTAATAATAATTAAAAAACACGCAATGTCGTTTCAAATGGAAAGAAAATCATGCCAAGAATTTGTTATTATTTCACTTCTCATTATTATCGTAACCATCATCGAATAACTTTGCAGTGAGTGAGAATACTGTTTATTCAGGCTCCAGTGGCTAGAGCTTGTTAGCTTTGACATTGACATTGCTTTCTCAATATTTCAAAGAAGAAGATTACGCGTTTTAACAGGAATAACTGCAACCTTAATCTCATTCTCATGATTTCTTCGAATTCCTCACATTTTCAAACACCGATCGTGAATATTTTAGAAATTAATCAGCGATTGTAACATTGTTTCGTGCACACCGCAAAGGAATTTTTCATTTTTTCTGCTCCTTTTTTTAAATTTAAAATAAAAATTAGACTACAATATTTAAAACAATACTATATTTCTATGGTTCGGGACTCAAAGCACGGAACTATTTTTTTTCTAGCTGAATATGCTGACCACTTACACCCCAAGAGTAAGCACGGGATAGTGCAATGATTTTGCTTATAAGCACGGTATTCATGTTAACATATTGAAAACATTTTTTTGCTGAATCACTCTAAAAATCTTTATTATGGCGCCTTTTCAATCCCAACTTTTCAAATTTCTATCTGTAAAGACAAGAACAGGGAAAAGTGGTCAAAGTGCCAGAAATTCGTTTGTGACTTTACAGGCATTGCTTCGCACTACTATACCCATTGTGCGCACAGTAGGTCCGCATTAAAAGCCTGTATACTGTGATATTCACATATCTTCTTTTATATTAATTATCATTAAAAACATTTTTTGTACTGAATACGCAGTAACACATTGATTATATAATTACACGATATACAAAAGTTGCAATGATCTTAAATGGTTATATTATTTAGACATAATTACATTAAAATCCTCAGATCTCTGTATAAATCACAGTATTATACAACATCTGTATACATCTGTATAATCACAACTCGTTACGGCCCAAGGCGATGGCTTCTGGAGTACCTTTGCAAATAAATGCAATTACCTCGACAACTTCGTTAAGAAAAACTGAATAATTAAGAGGCAAGCATACTAAAGTAAAAGAACGAGGACCGTTAGGGGTTTAAATCCAGAGATGAATAAGAAGTCCACTCAAGGGACGAAAACTTCCTTCATCTTTCAACTTCACTTAGGTAGGGGTCAAAGACCTCCAGCCGCAGCGATTTTGAAAGAGAACGAGGTATCAGTTAAACTCATTACGGTTAGCCGTTTAAGTTTAACGGTCACTAATTGCTACCAATTGGTATAGTGATGCTTAGAATGTACTAGCCAGCATCATACTATATAGGGTTTTATTTTTAGCCCAAAAGGGCAATTTGCCCAGAAGGGCTATTAATTTCATTTTGTCATTTTGCATTGATTCACTATAAACGGCGAATCACTTTTTAACTTGTTCCCACCAAATAATAGAGCCCAGTATTATATTTAAAGAAATTAAATAATGAAGAATCTGCATACATGTATGTATGTATATTTCTCGCATTGTGATTAAACAACAGTACATAGAGCCATCCATTTTTTAATAACGTACGTCTTCTCCAGAATATCGGCATCTGAAAGCTCAAATTTGGAATTTGTTTTATTATCTATTTCATATTTTGTCGGACATTAAAGAATTTTTGATTCACAAACCCAACAATTTCAAAGCGAAGAATGGCAACACAGTACAGAAAAAAAAATTATCTCAAGCTCGCGAGACTGTGTATCGGAAATTCTAAAGATAAGTTCATTTTAAAATTATTTTGCGATATTGCTCTTGAACTGAATTTTATGATTTAACCGAAAAGAACATGATACATAAATAACGGTAACACGCAAAACTTTAAAAATACGCCCCTTTGGGCGTTATAAAGTCTGAACTTTAAGATTTTTTTTTTATTGTTTGTAAGTACGTATTAATTTACAGTTCCTTTTTCTTTTATTAGTACCGCACTTGTTATGCAAATTTGCAAGATTGTAAGATTTACCAAGTTGTTCTTGTACTGGTATTCAAGATTTGAAATGCATTAGTTTCGATGAACTTATCTCTTACTTATAAAATGCTTTACAGTGTTACGGTATGGTATTTTTAGTAAATGTTGTATATAACAGTGTCATGCTTTTATATGTATATCTTTGGGAATGAGTATTTAAGCATTTTAATGTGTTTTCAATATTGTATAATCTCCCTTTAACATAGGTTTATCATTTACCTGGGAGGACTGTTCACCAGGGAAACGGAGCACCCAGACCCAGCTTAGAATTGCCATACACGGTTAATAGCCCCGACCCCTGGAGACGATCTAAGAAGGCATAACCTACCCGGTCAACCCTGAGGGGATTATGTTCACATAGTCTGGATTTATGTACGCAAAGTCAGAGGTGGATGGCCACACATCCACCAATAAAGAGAAGAAAATGCAACGTAGTCCGTCCCGAAGTGCTGACCAAGGGAAGCCAAACCCCTTAAGGACAACCTTCGTATCTAACCAACCATGTAGCACCCGCATAGCCAAAGGGGCAGACGTGATAGTACCATATGGTCCTTGCCGAGCCTGAGCATACCCCCCAATAAACGGAGATTCTATCTTGGATCATATCTTTGCTTCTGGCTCCAACTACCAAGAGTTCTAACGAGTAATTAATCATTATACCAGAGGCCATTAAAATTTCTAAAAACTAGAGGTGCAGATACGCAACGCCCGAAGGCGAGAATCAATATTTGAGTAAAACTCTAAGCGTTTGTGAAGCAATTGATGGCAATAAGTCAATGATAGCAAGTAATTATAGGAATAGGCAAATAATGGAGATTCTAGTCCTGTGAAGATTGATTTTATACCCCAATGGTCGAGACTGCCTAATATAGATCCTAGCCAGTAGCTTCACGATTTTTACCAACGTCGACCCCCGAGTGGGGTATCTGGAAAGACAGAAGGCCGGTGACATGTAATCAGTGGGGTCTTTTTATTACGGCCTGCCTTCTACCTAAAAATAGTTGCTCTGTGTAATCAAAACGGCTTTACAGACGTTTCAGGTCTTCTGAATTTATGTAAAAGGTTTTTCATTTTTTGTGTGTTCATTAATGAAATTCTGCTGTCACCTCCTACACAAGGGAAAAGTTTTTTTTTTTTTTTTTTTTTTTTTTTTTTTTTTTTTTTTTTTTAACATATCGTGTATTCTAATTCAGAAATTTTCTAGTTAATTGTATGATCAGCAGAAAATCTAAAGAAACGTTTATTTTTCAGTTCCAAGCTACCACAGTCGACATATCGTACAGGATGCTCCCTGGAATTACTGCCCATCATCATCACCTCAGAAACAACCTGAAGGATTAACTACAGTCAAGACCATTGATCTTTCCATACCACCACCTCCATACATACCATGTGAGGTAAAGAATAAATGCTTTTCATTTTGCAGGAATGACAGATCCAAAGTTAATCATCTTAAAATAAAACTGTTTTGTCGTCTTGCATTTTGGGGACGGATTATAGCGAGAAGGTTTATTACATTTGTAAAATAATTAGGTTAAAGTAAATTAAAAGTTCTAAATCTGGCAAAGCGACAAGAAATATGCATAGGGAGAAGACAAGATAATTGTCTATTTTATTTATACTGTAGGTTTTCAGGTTTTGCTATCAAATGCATTCAACAATGACAAATAGCAAGTAGAAGTTTCTTTCCTAAGTGAACCAAGTGATAATAGAATATGCAAAATGCCTGCGAATTATGACGATGCACTATGAGAAAAATGGTAATAATATCCCACAAAGAATTCGAAATGTACTAAGAGAATGTACCGAGTTAGCAAGAAAATAGTTTCGTGTGAAATAAACTCAATTTATTCTATAGAAAAAATAAACTTTAATCTCTCAAATATCTTCCATTTTGTTCGATGACTTGTTGCCATATTTCTAGAACCTTCATGATTACGCACTCGTAGAAATTCTGGTCTCTATCAGCAAAAAAACTCAACCAAATGCGATTTGAGGTCATCGTCTTTACTGACATTTTTAGCATTTACGAAGTTTTGCAAATTTCGAAATAAATTATAATAACGTAGTGCAAGGTCGGGGCTATATGGGATATACGACAAAACTTGCCAACCACGCTTCAATAATTTCGTAGGTGTTGCTAAAGATGTATGACGCCCTTACATTTTGGGTGGTCGAGCACGATTTCTTTGCGAATTGCCAATTCTGGCCTTTTCTGTTTGATTGCTTCCTTCAATTTCATAAGTGCCAGCCAAACGGTATAGTGATTAGCGTCGCTGACTGCAGTATCGAAGGGCCCGGGTTCGAATACCGGAGGAGGCATGGATGTTTGTAAATGTATAGTGTCGGTGCGGCATGGCGGCACTCTAAATATGCAGCGAGCCGAAGTGCTCTCGTGTGGTTTGGTGGAAGGGGAGAGGGGTGGGAGACTCTCGGAGCCGTCTAACCCCCCCCGGGGGTGCTCGTCATGAAATTTGATGGCGGAATTGAGCTAAATCGCACTGTCACCTGTAAGGTGCTTCAAGCTATTGCCAACGGCAGGCATATCTTGCGCTCCTTACCACGAGAAATTTCGTGGGCGTGGGCTGATGTTACGTGTCAGACAAGTGAGTATACGTAAGAACAACAATAGTTTCATAAATTGTTGGCAATAAACATCTGAGTAGATCGTTTGCTTATTTGATAACAGCTCAAAATACACAAAGGCCTTTGTAAATTCCGCCAAATTGGCGGCATGATCTTTTCCTGATGCAATTTATCTTTCGATATGATTTGTGTTCATTTATCATGCTTGGACCATGACCTATTTTGAATAAGTCATTGTAGACGATCCATTTCTCATTACCAGTGATAATTCGTTTCAAAAAAGAGTCGACTGCGTTGTGTTTGAAATGCGTATCTTAAAAATTGATTCGTTGTGTTGAGTGAATTTCTTTCAATTCATGTGGAACCCTGATATCGAGCTTCTTAACGAGTCCTAGATATCTTATGCGATTTTCAGTTGTTGTGTGATATATTTAACCTTTTTGCAATCTCTTGCAGAGTTATATGACGATTCCATTCGATTATGGCTTTAAATTTGTCATCATCAACTTTCAGGCGGTCTTGTCAGAGCGTTGGTCACCTTGAAGAGAAAAATCGCCAGAATGAATTTCTTTAAAAAATTCTGACACATGCGTTGTGTTAAGCAACCAACACCATAAACTTCAAGTATCTCTTTATGAGCCTCAACCGTTTTCTTGCCTTTATAAAAATAAAAAAAGTAAAACATGTTGAAAATTTTTATTTTTGCACCCCGTGTTAAAGGTGACCGTAAGTTAACCGTTGTAAACAAAAATACACGGAGTTTGTTTCTATAGCAATTTAAAAAATGTCAACTACCGAATATGAAAAAAAAATTATAAGATTGACAGAAGAATAACAAAACGAACATAACGCTGTCTATTTGTGCAAATCGAATTTTTTTCGCCAACACTAATAACAGAGAATGCCTAATTAATTATCTACTTATCTACTTGTAGAAGTTACTTCTTTTTGATGGCAAACCATTATCTTTCCTTAATTCTTATTGTGGACATACGATATCACAACAAAGGTCAAAGTTAAAAATGTTATTCCTCACAACGTGTGGGATTAATTTAAAATACAACAACGCAGATTAATCCCTTCTTGTAAGCAGCAGCTTACTAGAACTTCGCAGTAGAATATACTTTAATTCGGGTAACAATTCCAATAGCTCTGCACAAAGCTACAACAGTAACTGTGTTGGATCAAGCTCAACTAATTTTACCTCTTACCAACCTTTACAACGTGAGTCGTTTATGTCTATTCTCATAGAAAAATGAAATTCACATAAAATTGTGAAATTTTATACTGTGTTACGCAAAAATGTTTTTAGCTTTCTAAATCTAGGTTTACCAGACACCGATATTATGATGGTTGATGATATGGTCCTTGTGTCCCGGCCAGTTGGTCATTTTGTTCGATTATCTTGTGAAATTATTCTGAGCCGCCTTACCCATAGCTGTTACCCATTTAACACCACCCAGGAGGCAGGTGTGAATTAAGGATATCACGGACATGAGTAACATTGCCTTCCATTGCGTAACTTTGAACTTTCTTTATAAACAAAACAAAACAATCGTTTTTCAATGGATCCATTCACATGTAGGTATCGTCGGTAACGAAAAGGCAGACTCACTTGCCAAGAGAGGAACACTTGCGCCACAAGACAGCAAATTACTTCTTCCAGAGGCACTTTAAAAGCATATTTTTTGAGAAATGATTGGATGCTCTTAAATCTGACCAGGCAGCAGAATCAACAGGCAAATCCTGGGCTAACATTCAAGACACATGGAAAATGTTTGGTCAAAAACCCCGTAAATAGGCTGTGGCAAACTTCAGACTGCAAACAGGTCACGATTGCATAGCACATCATCTTAATAAAACAGCCATCCTTCTATCTTTAGTATACGCCAAATTTTCAATTCGGGCATCATGACTGCAGAACATCTTCTTATATGCCCTGAACTAGACAAAAAGTCTCAGAAACGTGGTGAGATATGTAAACTATATTGAAATAGGAGAGCTTTCATGAACTCCTTGTAAAGACTATATCCCTTTTGTTCCTTGTTGTTTAAATTTTTAACGTTTTACTCTTGTTCCTATTCATTTATTCTGATTCTTACTTTATAAATGTTTGCTCCTTTTTATTATATATCTTTGTTCTTGTGTGACACTTGAGCTGTTTTATATGTTTGCAGTGATCGTTCCAATAAAGCGATATGTAACAACATCTTGTAAAATTAATTTTAAAAGCACCAAATGTACACAGCTGTTATCATTACAATCCTGTAAATGTTTACAGAAGTTGATGACAGATGACTTTCTTTCATCGAGCTATGAGAAAACAGTTTTGGTGTAGTAGAATCTTTTATTTAGATTATAAGGTATTTCTCCCGCCTTCTTAGCGTGTCTTCGTGGTGTAGTGGCCAGCACACTGAGCCGGTATTCCAGAGGTCCGTGGTTCGATTTCCGCCGAAGGCGATTGCTCATTTTTCATCATTTCTGCTTCCAAAAATATACCTAATATCTCTACAGTGGTGCCCGAACTAAAAGAGCGTTGAAAGAGGATTCTCCAGACCCAGGATTTGTCGATTGGGTCCCCTAAAACCCCCAGTCGCCCTTTAAAAAGGGGAGTATAGTATTTCTCCCACCTTCTTGGCGTGCCTTCGTGGTTGTAGTGACTCTGCACGCTGGGCCCGTATTCCGGAGGTCCGTGGTTCGATTCCCGGCGAAGGCGGTTGCTAATTTTTCATCTCTCTTGCTTTCAAAAAATCCTAGTGTTTCTGCGGTGGCGTCCAGGCTGAAGGGGTTGTGGATGATGATTCTCCGCACCCAGATTTGGCGATTGGGTTCCCTAAAATCCTCAGTCGACCTTTAAAAGGATAAGTATATAAGGTATTTCTCCCGCCTTAGCGTGCCTTCGTGGTGTAGTGGTCAGCACACTGAGCCGGTATTTCAGAGGTCCGTGGTTCGATTCCTGGCGAAGGCAATTGCATATTTTTTAATCTCTCCTGCTTCCAAAAAATAGTAATGTCACTACACTGGCGCCCGAACTAAAAGGGTTGTGGATCATTACTCTCCACACCCAGTATTTGATGATTCGGTCCCTTAAAACCCTAGTCGCCCTTTAAAAAGGGGAGTATATAAGGTATTTCTTCCGCTTTCCTAGCATGCCTTCGTGGTGTAGTGTTTCTGCACTATGGGTCGGTATTGCAGAGATCCGTGGTTCAATTCCCGGCGAAAGCGGTTGCTAATTTTTCATCTCTCTCGCTTCAAAAAAAAAAAAAAAAAAAAAATCCTAATGTATGTACAAGATAAACGAGAGAGAATCAACATGGGCTGAAACTGACGCTTTAGATGAAAATACAAAATAGGCTGTCACTAATAATATAAATATACACTTTTATTTTTCCAAATGATATTCTTATATGTTGTTAAAATGAAGTCTACTTCCTTTGAAACTGGTAACAAGACTTCTCTTTGTTGTTTTGAAGCAAAAATTGAAGATTCTTCTATACGAAATTTAAAAAAAAAAAAAAAAAAAAAAAAAAAAAAAAAAAAAAAAAAACATTTTCCTTAGGGTTCCTTCCTGATCCTTCGTTACCATGGTGACACATCAACTGTTCTATCGATGAGAAAGCAAGTTTTATCTTGTTCCTTTGTTCTACTTCATTCCTTCGAGCAAATAACGAGTTTAACTTCTTATTCTCTGACGACCATTTCTTCCTTAATTTCCTCTTTGATGTTAGCATTTTCAACTTTTTAATTAAAAGATTCCGACTGTGTACTTTTTTCGCCGTTTGTTGATTCAGTTTTAATTGAAATTCATTATAATTAAATGGGCATTTGGAAATCTAATTAGCTTATGGAATGACTTACAGTAATTAAATATTCTTTTAATAATTATTAAAAAATTATGTAAATGTGCGAAAATTTTGATCAGCACCTGGAGAATTTCCAAACCATGTGATATAATTTCTTATAGCTATTTTGAAAAAGTAAAGAAATGTAGTTTTTTTTTTTCCCCTAAGTTGCTTTAAGTGAAACGTTATGTTTATTTGTAAGGAGTTCAGAGCCGTTGTATGAGCGATGTCCGCCGAAAATATCGTAAACAAAAACGAAAACAAAGCAACGGAAAAATGCAGTTAAAACCATCTCGGGCGAAAAGAAAGCAAAGAGAAAAAATGGAAGTTCTAAAACATCATGGTAATAAAAGCGGTGAAAACGTTCGCACGATGATATCATCGCATACATGCGTTTCCTGCCATCTTTAAAAGATTCTATGAATGATTTTGAAACATTTTAGTAAATTTTCGCGATGATGATGAAACAAGAAGTAATATTTTTACTACAGCATTTCATATTTGAATATTATCTAATAAAAATATTTCTTGGCCATTAAAAATTGGAAATTCATGAAAATTAATGCTGCGTATAGCAGTAAAGATAATTTTAAGCTTATGTTGCTAACTGTTGAAGTCATTATTTAATTAATCTCTTTGTAAAGACTTATTAGTAAATTTTCATGAAAAAGTATAGTATTATTAAAAAGATTAAGAAGGGAAAATTACAAAAGTTTAAAATTTCTATTAACTGATATATGTAGCATCGATTCTTACTAATTTTCAGATTTTTAATTCTTCTTGCCAGTTAAGTAAAAATTTATTAATTAATACAAAATATAAAATGATAAGGTAAAAATGTTACATATTTCTTTTCGTGTTCAAAATACTACGCGAAAATTCACTTATTTTTTTTAGTCAGAAAACGCATGTCTGCAAAGTTATCATGCTTTTGTATGACGATGTTTCCTAAGGTTTTGCACTGGTTTATTTTATTATACCACTATGTTTCAGAACAGCCATTTTTTCCTTGCTTTCTTTTGGCTCTCGACGACGTGCTTTCTTTTTCTCTTGTGTTATTTTCTCCGCAACATGACGTCCGCGATGTTGTTGCTGCGCCATTTTCGTCTGCATCCATTCGAATCCCAGCAGAGACAAAGTTGGTGTCTTACATTCCTCATTTATAAACACCTTATAAATGAGTACACGCTTTGTACACGCTTCGAATTGCTGCGTTTTCGGTTACGATCCACCGTAGTTAAGGAGTCGCATGAAAATTTATGTTTTTGAGTAGAACTAAGGGTACTTACACATCAACCGATACCGTCTGAAGCTGTTTAGCGAGAGACTATTCAATTTTCTTTTTGGCCCGGCTCCAACGTTTTGGTTTTGTTAGTCTGGACTTTGCCTGCAAAATCAAATTTTTTTGGCAGTTTTCTTCTGTTTTTCTTTTTACGTGTATTTTTCTTAAATAAATATTACGATATATTACAGTTTTATCTAATATCAGCAATTCTTCAGCGAAATATCGGAATCACAGAATTTGATTGATGTTAGCTTTTTATATCAGCAATACATATAGTAGTATGTGATGAATGGCTGTATGGTGAACGATTTCTTTTAAGTCAGTTTGCAATAAGCATTATTACAACCTATCTGCATTTATCCATACTGAGCTTCCATGAAATACTGCCTTTTCTAATGTATACCTTGCACAAAAAAAAGGGAAGCACAGTTCTATATCTCCCGTTCTACTGGACCGATTGTCGAAATGTAGCTTGCATTTTCCATGTTTCGAAAGCGTGACTTAGGATATGCATTATATTTATATATAGCATTGTACTAACATAGGTATTTTGACACAAAATCAGACTTTTTCTGAAATAATATGCCAATTTTTTTCCATACTTGGATTCTACGACTCAAATTGGTCCAGAGTGCTAAGTTGCGCTCGAGTAGTTTTTAAAAAATTAGCTCTCAAAATTTTAGCTCCTCCATGTTAATTGAATTTCGTATATATTTATTAATGTCTCTTTTTTTTATTAAACTTATTCGATTCTTCCTTTCACATATCGAAATTTAGGTTCATTCCAAATAAAATTCGCCCAATTTTTTTATGGTTTATTTTTAAATTTGTATTTTTAAATAGTTTTTATAAATTTTTCTAAAAACGCGTCTTGAACTATAACGTATATATCGCATATCTACAAAAAATTAAAGTTTTTATTCAATATTTTCTAAGATATACGTGAATATATATTTTAATACGTTTCGAAGATTAGCATATTTGTTATTAGCGATAATAACGCCAAATGTGGTTTACGCTCTTTCTTAAAATTATTTGAAAGTATGAATGATGACCTTTCTTCTGCTTCTGTACAATGAAAAAATGGAAAGGAACAGAGGTTGCTATAAATTTAGAAATTCTCGAAGTGGATTATTTTCGGCGCAAACTGAAAAAAAATGCGCCAAGATAAATTTGAAATTTCTCCGTAAATTTCGTACCCAAAATTACAAAATTTAATATGTAGGCATAATTTGAGTCGTAGAATCGAAATATGGAAAACAATTGCATGTTACTTCAGACAAAATCCGATTTTTGTGTCCAATTACCTATGTTAGAATAATGCTATTTGTAAATCTAATATATATCATAAGTCGTGCTCTCTAGACAAGGAAAACGAAAGTTAAGTCTCGACAATCGATCCTGTAGAACGGGAGATACAGAACTGCCCTCCCCTTTTTTTGGGCAAGGAGTACATTTTCATTCCATGTGAATTAGCGCATTCTCAAATGTACGCCAGTGTATTAACTTCATTCATTTTTTCTTACCGTTTATAACTCAGTATATTGTTTGATGAAAGAAAACTAATTGTTTACTTGTCTCAGCATGCTTTATTCCCATCCAAATTTTGAAATATTCTAAAAATTACGAGAATGTTTCATCAGAGATACAAAGAAACTAAAAGTAGTTTCAATACGTCTCTCCTGTCATTTGTTTGATGCAGAATCACGTCACAATTTCGTAAAAGTATACAGTATCTGTGAAATGCTCTAAAATGAAGGAAAATAAAAGAAAGTATGCTCACTTATTTTTTAACTCATATAACTAATAAGTAAAGAGGTGTAATTCGTATAATTAGCAAGTGCCTAGAAGTAACATGTTCTTTCTTTTTACTTCCTTGTACGAAGTAAATGAAGTATTGTAATCACGAAAAATTGCGGGTATCCATTTTGACTGCTATCGAATGCAATTGAAGGATGTTCTTGCATGACATCTATACGTAAGGGCAGAATAAAGGATTCTTTTCCCCAAAACGAATTATAAATCTGATTTAAAATGGATTTAGAAGAAAATTTTTCGTGGCGTCTGTACATACGTGATGTATGTATGTATCTAGCATAAGTCAAAAACGAGTAGCTTCAGAGCACTGAAATTTTGACAGCTGTAACATGTAGTTGTGCACCTCGTATTTTGGTTGCAATTGGCTGCACCAAAAGCATATAAATGTGTAACTTTTCAGTAGGTTAATCGCGCGAAAATACTAGCCAAGATTATATTTTGTTTTAAAAAAATTGTTTTGTAATTATATATATACACCCGCTCTGTTACTCAACTGAATGAGTTCATATTTTTTTTCTTATATGTTGGTAAATTGTGCAGTTTTGGCTTTAAAAATGGTTGAATTATGTCATTCTTATCTTACGGTTAAAGATTTTATGCATTTAGTTAATCTGCATGCAAACGTTTTAGAATTATCAGCATTTTAAAAGTTAAGTGCGGCTAAGCCTAATTTTTTTAGCATAGTAGCCATATTTGTTTACATTTGAAACTTGGTAGAATTGTGAATTAAGTTTTTCTGCGCCTTCAGTGTCTTTTTGCCCAGTGGGACGAAAAGGAAACTTTTAGTTGTGCTCCCCGAAAATCTGCCTTCTTGCCCGCTGGCCGAATTGTTGTTTTTGCGGAAAATTATAATTCTAAAAATTGTTTTTTTAATTGTTTTAAGTATATTTGGTGTTTTATGTTTTTCTATATCTTTCAATTTTTAATGAATATATTTTGATGTTTTATGTGTTTTTGTCTTGCCGCGAAGTGAGAACTGAATTAATTGAAATAGAAATATCCCTCTAATGAAATTCGAGGAAGTTTAAATGAAATGCAGGGTAAAATGCGTATAATTTTATATTCCGTGTAAAATTATACGCATACACCACATAAATTCCTTAAATTCAAAAGGAATTTATGTGGTGTATGCATCAGATTTTTAAAATTATATATTCTTAATAATTGGAGGAGTTAAAGCAAAAAGAATCGTTGTAATATTAATGCGTTTGCAGGGTTAGTTTAGAAGGTTTAAATATAGAAACTTCATCAGCTCCAGAAGTGCAAATGGCGAAAGAGAAGCCTGTGCTGAGGCGAGAACAATGAGATAACGCCCCGAATAACCATTATTGGAGGTGTTAAGCATAAACGGCTGGGGATGATGCTCAGATTTTTTTTTTTTATTAAATTAACGTTTATTGTTGATCTTACTCAATTTCATCCTTTTATTGGGAAACAAAAAGACAAATTTAAAAATCTGATTTGCATAATGTATTCATTTCTCAAATTTTTTTTAGTCGTGATTTTAATTAGTTTGATAATGCTGACAGTAAATAACCTTTTCGAAGAAATTTTCTTTTAGTGTGTGTACGTGTGTTAAAACTTCAAATTTAGTTGTGTTCTATGTTCTGAAAATAATTTAACTGTGTTCCGTAACTTTTACGCTTGAGGCTGGAGTTTTGCGATTATGTTCATTGAATAGGTTCTTAGTTACGATTATCTGATACCACAGACTTACTATTTTCATTGTATTGCTAATAAAAATAATTTTAGGGTGAAATATTTGAAATACAGAAGTTTGTTTGAATCGGCAATTAATTTATGTATAATTTCTTATTATTATAGGAGAGACGATTGTCCAGGAGTAATTCAAGGGACCAGTTTAGCATAGCAACCAGTCCAAGCTCCGTGGACCATAATATGAATGAGATGCAGGCTTTGGTGGCTTCCATAACGTCTCTGCCTATGTGCCTCACCAACTCCCCGAAAGGCAGTTCTCAAAGTCTGAGTGACCAATCAGATGACAAACATTCATCATCCTATATAGGTAGTGAATGCAAAGATTCACAGGCTATAGCAGACATAGCTTTTACCTCAGGTCAGAATACAGACTTAGAAGAACGGACAGTGCAGAAAATGTTACAGACGGAGGATTGTCCTGAAAGAGCATCCTTGCAGGACTTTGCTGATAAACCTGACGCTGTAGCTGCCCAATTACAGCAGCGGCAGACGTACGACTCAGCTGCTGGTATTGACATGCACAGTGTCATGTCTATGGAACTCCTGGAAGAAGAAAGCGAAGTGGATGACGGCGAAAGCGTGATGCAACGCATCGAAATCAAAAGTCACGACATCATCAGCAGGGTCACGGAAATGAGCAAGATTGTTAACGATGCGCAGCTGTATTTACAGAGCGACGGTAGCCGCAGCTGCGAATCTGATAGACACAGCTCAGGTGACCTGGGACTGAAATCGAATGATTCGCTGCTGTTCATCCCTCGTCACGGGACTTCAGAGGAATATAGTAGCTTATTAACTCCTGGTAGCGACATGATGCCTTCAGAAAGCGAAACCGAGAGCACGCCAACGAATAGCCCGACACACAACCATATGTTGGCTACGGAAGATCCGGAGGAGAATATCAAGAAGATGTGTTCGAGCTTTGGCTTGCACAGTCCGCATCTTCTCATGTCCTCGCTTCACCAGGAATCTGAAGACATAGAGGAACTGCTGCGGCAACTGCAGACGTCCACCAATTTGCCCTTCGAAGGAAACACTTTGTGTCTGGATCCCGATATCATCGATTTGACTATCATACCACCTCCTAATCCGGATGATGTGGACTTTTGCTGTGTGACCCCTGATGCCATCGATGACAACAAATCCTTCCTCGATCAGGAAACTGGCCAACGGAGAGATTATTATGTCACGGAATGTGAAGGCACAGGTTTGTTTCTTTCTTTTCAAACTTACCTTTACCCATCTTAATATATGATTCATTTCTCTCTCATTTTATTAAGCAGACACTGAACAGTGTTTTCCGTAATATTTTGCCCTAGTTATTACATCGGTAATAATTTTGTATGGTTAGTCATATTTTGTGACGAGATGCATAAGAGCAATGAAGGAATTACTCTAACAGCATCATTCCATCTTACAATTTAAATAATTTACACATTTTCTTTTTTTGGATTTCCTAAAAATATTTTGCTTTGATCCGAGAGTTTGTGATAGCAGTTTTTCCATTCATTGCACAAGAAACGCAGTTTACTTTTTTTTCTAAACAAGGGCTTCGTAATCACCAAAACGATTAATTGTGAGTACAATGTACGAGTTTCCGTATCTGATAGGATGTAATAAATTCATGCCTACAATTCTTTTTCAAATTATTCAGCAGTAATGTTTTGTAAATAAACTGCATATTACATTTTAGTTCAAATTCTAAATTTTTTTTATTATGTTTTCACCGAGTTATGGTTTTATTTTAAAATTTCATATGTTTTTATTTAAAATTATGTTTATATTTAAAATCTTATGTTATATTTTATATTAAGCAAAGATTTATTTTAAAATATAGCTTTATAAAAAATAAAACAAAACTATTTAAAATAAACAAACTATGTTTTAAAGGTTTTTTTTTATTTATTTTATATAAATAACAAAATATAAACTTTTAAAAATACACATAAAAATAGGTTTTTTTACATTTATACAATAACTTTTATTTTAAAATGTATATGATGATTGAGCCTCCCAACCAGGATAATAATTATAATAAAATTACAATATAAACAAAAATAACTGAAAGTCATTCAAAAAAAGAAAGGGCTTTGAATATTCAATTTCGGAAATTGGATATAATAACAATGTTACAGCGACCATTGAAACAAAAATGAAGAAACTAATATCGCCAACTGCTCGTTAAATGTTCCAAGATGGCAAACTTAAAAAGAAATGTCTTCGCAAGAAACACTTTCTCCCGTCTGCTGCAGACACTGTTTTCTTAAATGCAGAAAATCGCGCTAATAATATTTTATTTTTTTATAATTCTTGTTTTAAAAAAGAACGAACATTTATATCCGATGCATTTTCAATGTTGAAATTTTAAAACATCAAGTAATTAAAAAAAATCAAACGTTTCATCAGAAATCTGACACAAATTAAAAAATTGTTTCAATTTTTATGCAAGTCTCATAGAAAATATTTTGTTCCTCTTTATCCGATGGTGCAGGCAGTAGAATTATTATATGCTTAGTTTGTTCGTTAAACGAAAATATGTGAGATAATTCATTTTAAAATTAAATAAAAGCATCTTAATTGAATTTTTAAAAGAACGCTTCACCACGCTACATCATCATCATAGACCAACAGTGTGTATAAAAAATTCAAATTCCATAGCTTATCAGAAAGTAGGTTAAAAATCGATGACAGAATTCCACTCACAGTTAAATGAATGAAGTATATATATAAAAGCTTATGTTAAAGAAAGTTATATCGTAAAATGAACAAAAAATTGCCATTCTTAAAATTAATAAAAAGGAAAAACTATGCAAGCTTTGTTTTCCTGTGTTAAGCATTTTAGACAGCTGAAACTCATTGTAGTAAAAAATTCCAAATATAATTCTTACATCTGTAATATTATTCTTAAACACCAAAGGAGTGATCTTTATTACGAATGAAATGTGTCATAATTTTTTGTGCTGAATGACTTTTTTCTCATAATTTATTATTTCTCGAGGGAGGCGGACTACCTAATTTTTTGTTTGCTTTAAAATAATGGGTAAGATTTAGATTAAAATAACACTCCGAATAATGATTATTGGAGAAGTCAAACTAGAAGAAACGACTGACTTTAAATGGTCCTAGTTATATCATATTGCTTTTTAGCAAAATGTTGGATTAGTTATAGTACTTAGTGTGCTAAGTATTTTAATGCATTTGATCAGGATAATTGTTTTGTGGAAAAGCAAGCGAAGTAAATGTTTATCGATGAGATTCCTATTCTGTGTTTTGAATTCCAAGTAGTGTGTATACTATTTTAATTTTCATTCGCCCTTTTTCTGCTTGAAAATTAAGAATTTTCAGAAGACGGCTCTTAATGTTGTCTTTGAGATATTGTTATCGAACTGCCAAAGCCCCATTCGCTTGTATACGAGAACATGGAAAACACATCGCTTATTGTGATTAACAATTCAGTTAAATTCATGCAGATCCTTCAATGTTTAATTTCTTTAAATGTAATGCAGGCCTCTAATATTTGCTGGCAACAATTTAAAAGGTGATTCGCCGTTTATAGTGAATCAACGCAAAATACCAAAACGAAATGAATAGCACTTCTGGCCAAACTGCCCCTTTGGGCTAAAAAATGTTGCCGAGTGGGGTTATGCCAGGAAATAGCTTGTTTTTGAATTTACATCAACTATTTAAAATTAGGCAAAAAAGCAACGAAGTTTGGCTTAGATTTTGAATTACATTGGAAACTCAAGATACGAGTTTAATTCATTCCAGCATTGACCTCGTAGAGCGAATTTCTCGTATCTAAAAACCATTGAAATTAATGGAAATCCAGTTAATCCGTTCCACACCCTTAGAAATATCAAAATGAAAATCAGTTTTTCCAATAAATAACACTGGTGAATAATATAACCGTAGTTTACCTTTATCATAGCCTCCGACACCGAATCGTCTTTTAACTACTTCTCGTTGATCCACACCAACAACGGCTTTTCAACATCTTCTAGGAATTTTGGACGGTGCTGGGCAATAACAGTAACTCTTTTGGCCATATCAAGTTTCTTAATTTCTTCCTTCTTCAGAATAGTGCAGATCGTCGATGTCAAACAGCCATAAGTCTTCACCAATTCCGTCAATCTTACACCACGCTTATGTTTATCTATGATATCTTTTTTAATTTCAACGGCCATGGCTTCCTTCTTTTTCTTTGAAGCACTATCTGAGGCAATAGTCTTCTTGGGAGGCATCGTAAAATAAATATTTTCACGTTAGATGTAAAAAAAAAATAAACTCAACTGTAAAAAACAATGAACTAATAAGCGCATAAACACGTAGATCAAAGATCACTGAGTGATCTGACGAAGGGATTCCTCAGGTCGAGCCGAATCGCGAAATGGCGCCACTCATACCAACAACCTGGCTCTTGCTTGTTAGTCGAGTATATGCTTATATTTAGACACGAATTAGTCGCTCCTCGAATAATTTCCTTCTATCTCGAATTCCTCGTATATAAAGGTACTGGTATCTCGAATTTCTCGTATATAGAGGTGCTCGTATCTCAAGGTTCCACTGTATTGTATCGAATTTGAGGGAACGTCTTCAAAAATTCTGTAGAATTGCATTTCTTTGCTTCTGTTAAACAAATACCTCTCAAAAGATATACATAAAACTAATGTTGCTCTTCTGTTAAATTTTACATATGCGTGTTTTCTTCCATTAAACGAGGGATGCCTTTCGAGTGTTAAGATTTGACATTTAATACTCAAACATCTACTTGTGATTAATGAAATAATTTCTAGTAATATTTATTTTTGCTGTATTTGTATTAAGTAAAAATGCGTGACGTCTGAAAGCTAAATAATTTCCACGTAAGCCATACCATTTTAAATTCGTCTTAAAATCAAATGATATTTAAGTATTATTTAATCACGAAGACTGATAGAAGTGACGAAAACAAATACCTAAAATTTAGCAAAATGCTAATACATAACAGTTTCATTTCGAAGCCTTTGATGTGATTTGCTGCAAACCGTGGACTTGCATGAATGATTACCTTTCGTTCCTTGTCAATTTCGACTGGTGATCAAAATCAGATGATTTAACAGCAGCATACGAGCACTTTGTGCTTACGTGAAATGTCTTTTATAAAGAGTAAATTACCAGAACAATATTCAAATAAACAGCAGAATGGTAAGGAACATAGGAAATATATGAAATGCCGTTTAGGAAAGGATACTTGCATGGTGTAATTTTCTTTATGTAACTTTAAATATTAAATTGACTGAGAAACTTATTTATAATTTTATAATTCTAGTATTTCTTCCACACGCTGTAATATTTAAATAATTAATCTTCATTATAAAATTCGAAAATTAAACGTTTCGGGAACGTTTAATATCGCCATCTACAGTGTAAAGAACAAAAGTCTAAAACTTGTCAGTCTAAATCGAAAACAAAAAGTTTTGTAACATACATACATACTGTAGACGTACAAACAAAAAGAACTTTACTTACCTCACGATAAAGTCGTACAACTCCAATTAAGTTGATGCACGATTGGAAAAAGCCATTCATCTGTAGATAAACTTGCTGAATTCTTGTACCAGCAAATGTGTTCCAAACTTTTGACTTCTAAAATTTATAAGATTCATAGAATTAAATTATTTAAAAAATTTCATTTTAAAAGAAAGGATTTCAAAAAGATGAGACGACCGTACTTAATGTGTTTACTGAATTAAGGGAACTCATACATCTTAAAGTTATGATTTTTGAATATGTGACTGTTGCAAGAATTGGGATATTTTATCCATTTTAAAAGCAATTATTTCAAAATTTTTACATCATATAGCTGCTTTGGGAACTAGTAACCAGAAAGTTAGTGTTGCCACAAATATTTTTGTAATTTAGTCCGCTTTGTGACAAAAGTTTTCGTCATGTTTCCACCTTGCGCGCATGATATTTTAAAAATGGCTAATGGTACATATTTGAAATTTGACGGAATTCTTTATATGGACACTATATTCTAACTGAACCGAAAATCTGATGAATATTTTAATATTCAAAAATTTTATGCACGAAGACATAACAGATTTTTTTAACAAAATACATTTCATAAACTCAACTCCAAATAAAATAAAAATTTAACATGAAATTCTTAGAATTTTTGGTTCACAGTAGTTTTCAAATGTTATAAAAGCTATATATTAAATATGGAATTAAATTATGCAACGGAATATTTTAAAATGTGCGCGCAAGGTGGAAACATGCCGAAAAATTTTGTCACAAAGCGGATTAAATTATAAAAATATTTGTGGCAACACAAACTGTCTGATTACCATTTCCGAAAGCAGTTATATTATGTAGTCAACTTTAAAAAGATGGAAGTAATTGCTTTTAAAATAAATAAGGTATTCCAACTCTTGCAACAGTTACATATCCGAAGATCTTATGGGTTTTAAAGTGTATGAGTCCCCTTAAAATTTGAAAAATTCCTTATCTACATTTAAATTAAACTTTTAGCATTACTTTAATACAATGCTGTCTCTTTCTCTGGCTGGCAGTTAGCCAGCCAGCCAATTTTTTCCCTTTTTCATATCATTAGAAGGTTTTACTTTTTTCATATTTCTTCTCAATCAGCAATACGAAATATGATGATGCAATAAATTTTGAATAAAACTAAATTTCCTTTTATTTACTTTTGAAATTGCAGCTTCCACGGAAAACATAGATCCGGAAGAAAATGGAATTGTGTTCTCAGCTTCACCTGCTACAACACCCACGGAGACTGTAGCCTCTTCGTCTCTCTCCAGTTATGGCATGACAGAAGCATCGAGCAGCGAAACTCTGACTCCTGCTGAAGATGATCTTTCCGCTTATATCATTCCCCCTCCACCGAGCTCAACGCGAGCCGTCGAAGAACAGAACCGAGTCTTGGCACGCTTTAGGCAAGCCGCCGAAGAAATAAGGCGTATGATGGCCCACGGGAATGACAACCTGTCTGGGTCTAAGTACTCAGATACCATGAATTCTGTCAGCAAGTTCTGCACCATTCCACGCAGACACGAGGAAGCCCACAGACCGTCATTATCCTCTTTGGCGTCACTTGTTACGCCCGTTCGAGAAACTCACGGAAAGATTGGTTCATCCAATCCTTTTCCCAATTCCAGCGACTCGACGTCTAATGGTGGTGGCAGCCACACAAAGAATCATGCCAGCATAGATCATCCGGTAAATGGATCCGTAGAAGATTCCGAGAGTGAAGTATCGTGGAGACCTCAGCCACCCCCTCGGGTGAAGAGGAACTCGAATGCCGCAGAAAGTGTAGGCGAGCATTCGAATCTACACCATAACGAACACACCAAAGTCAATGGTTCAAACTCAGGGAATCACAGTGAGAATTTCTCAACTACATCATCCCACAGGATAAGGGATCAGACTAGTCAGGTAATCAGATTATTTTTAGCACTATTCTGAAAAGAAATGAATCTGAAGGTAAAATAAGTAATGGATACTTGCATAGTAATGAGATAAGAGGCTTGAACTCTTTTGGTGTGTTACACTGTACTTTTCCAACAGCTGGCAAATGATTGCTTTATCGTGCTACAGAAGAAGCGAATGAAGCAGATCTTCCCCGTTATCTATGATGGATGACTGGCAAACAGCAAACAAAGTAATTCACAAATAATAATTCACCACCAAGTATAACTCACAAAGCAAGTTTGTTCTCCTTTGCTCATTTTACCTTCAGACTTAGTTTTAGGGTGTCTTGTATTTTTGATTAAAAGCGCTATAGATTTAAAAACAACTTGAATTCATCATTTCATAATGTCTATAAAATCTTACAAAGTTTTGGGCAGGTAAAGTATTTTACCACTATTTTCAGTTAAAATGTCTGATGTGCACAGAACATGACTTCCTTGTACGGGCTATTAAATTATACACATTTTTGTTGAATTTCATTTAAACTTGTTTCCTCGAATTTTATTACAGATGTATTTCTAACTCAATCAATTTAATTCTCACTTAGCGACAAAGCAAAAATACATAAAAACTCAAAACATCTTCATTAAAATTTGTGAAATACAGTTAAAAACAGAAAGAATTTTCACAATTAAAATTACAGTTGGTATGCAAAAACAAGCAATTCGGCCAACGGACAGGAAGACAAGATTTTCGGTGCACAAAATTAAAACTTCTGGTCCCCCTGGCCTAAAAGACACTGAGGTTGATGCACCAAATTCAGAACTCTACTAAGAGTTTCAAATGTGAACAAATGGTGGGTCACTTAGGCCTAGCGCCATTGAAACTTTTGAACTGCTTGTAATTCTACAATTATTGCATGCATATTGCCTAAAGGCATAAAAACCTTAACCGGAACATAAGAACAGCATAATTCAGTCGCCTTTAAAGCACAAAATGCTCAATTTACCAATATATAACAATAAAAAAAAACTCAGCCTACCGAGCCGGGTAACTTTTGGTGCGACCGATTGCAACCCAAAAGGGAGGTGCACATTTACATGTTATAACAGTCCAAAATTTCGACGTTCTCCGGCTACTCGTTTATGAGTTATAAGAGATACACACGTCATGTCATCATGAAAAAACATCTCTTCTGAATTCACTTTAAATCTATTTTACAATCTGTTTTGAAAAAAAAAATACTCATTTATTCTGTCCATACTAATAGACATCATGCAAAAAAAGCGTCTAACTGGATTCGAGAGCGGTCAAAATGAATATTTTCATTTAAATATGACACACGAAAGTTTTCGCGATTACAATATTTCCTTTACTTCGTACAAGAAGGTAAAGATTATATCGATAATAAATCATATTATTATGCAAAATATAAAAACAATAAATCATTAATTTTGAATACTTGGAGTGTAAAAGAAAGGCGATTATAAACTATTAGCAAAAAACATACTTATGTGGAGAACTGAGTGATGGTGCATCTGTTCATGCGGATATCGTCCATGGCCCGAAACCAGGATTTCACCAGCTAGAATCGAACCTAGAAACTGCTGTGTACTAATCTGACCGAAACAGCATATCTTGAATCAGTTTTCTGCCTTTAGCGTTCTGCTACGGAAAACAGCTCATGGGCCACAATTTTTTCTTTTTTAGCAAGATAAAAACTTTTTTCAGCAAAACGAAAAATATTTTAACCAAATTTCAAATTTTGCCTACTTGCTAAACATTTATCAAAACGTGCGTAAACAAAAATATTAATAATTCAAAGAAAAAAAATTGAAATTTATATTTATCTTCTATCTGAAATGTAATGTAATCACTTTTACAGCAAAGAATGCACAGTTTACCAACGTATAAGAATAAAAAACTGAGCTCAACAAGCTGGGTAACAAAGTGAGTATATATATATATATATGTTTGGTACGGCCGATTGTAGCCAAAAAAAGGAGGTACACAACTACATGTTATAGCAGTCCCATATACAAAATTTCAATGTTCTAAGGCTTTCCGTTTTTGAGTTATGCGAGATGTACCTACGTACAGACGTCGTGAAAAAAATCTCTTCTGAATCCGTTTTAAATCCATTCTCAAAAAAAAAAAAAAAAAAAAAAAAAAAAATCTGAAATGTTTCAGATTTTAAATTACGTCCAAAGGGGCGTCTTTTAACATTTTGTGTGTTACCTTTCTTTATTAAATATCATGTTCCTCGCACTTAAACCATAAGATCCACTGCAACAGCAATATCGCAAAATAGTTTTAAAACGAGCATATCTTTAGAATTTCCGATACAGAGACCCACGCGCTGGAGATAAAAATGTTTTTTCTGCACAACGTTGCCATTGCTCGCTTTGAAATCCTTGAGTTTGTTAATCAAAAATTCGTCAAAGTTTTAAAAAATTGGAAATCGATCATAAAACAAATTTCAAATTTCAAATTTGGTCTTCCACATGCTCATATTCGTTGGAGGATTACATTATTCAAAATTCGATGACTCTATGTACCGTTAATTTATGACAATGTGAGAAATATACATACATTTACGCAGATTTTCATTATTTAATTTCTTTAAATATAATGCAGGACTCTAACATTTTATGGCAACAGTTTGAAAAGTGAACCGACATTTATCCGTCCGACGCAAAATGCCAAAACGAAACTAATAGTCCTTCGGGATTCAAATCCCTTTGGACTAAAAAAGGTCTTTTATTCTGTATGTAGACATCAAACAAAAACATCGTTCAAAATGGATATTTTCTTTGAAATATGACACCCGAAATTTTTCGAGATTACAATACTGCCTTTACTTCGTACAAGGAAGGAAGTAAATATTGGTAAAAATACAAAATATTCCTTGCGTGGATTTCGATTTCATGAACTTCTTTTCTGAATTCCGAACTGCTATTTTAAACTAGACAAAGAAACGTTTTAATTAATTCTCCGTCATCGAGCTGCAAATTCCCTTGTGTCATGAAACACCGCGTTCTTCGTGATTGCCAACATTCAGTATCGATTCACTAATTGTCACTGAACGCTGAATAATTATTGGCAGGAAACTTTGAAACTCTGTTTTCGTGTTAACTATTCATTAATTTTCACCACTTGGTCTTTGTGGGTCGTCCTCTACTCATTCATTATATGTAACCTCTCTAAAATTATAAGTTTTGCTTTTATTTTCGGCACTAAGAGTCGACGAGAATTAATACCCTTCGATCCCTCATCATTTAGAACATTCGATAAATAAGATCTCAGACGCGTACCGGACTGTATTTTATAAAGTTTGATGTTTGCATTGCTGTATTTAAATTCTATTTATTGCAGGCGTTTCTTAAATACACTTTCGAAAGTCTTAGATGCAAAGTCTTAGATTGCAGCAATTCGAAGAATCATGGTTTGATTTATTTAAGGCAAAGTACACGAGAGCCCTAAAGGAAGGGATGTCTTCATGGAGGACTTTCTAAGGGAAAGTGGCTCGTACGCACGTTACACATGGGCAAAGCCACGAATACGCCTGTGCAGCCAGGCCATTCGCTGAGATTCGAACCCCGGACTGAACTACTAGCATTCAGCGACTTTACCGCTCAGCCGCTGGTGGGATTCATTATTATACAGATTGAGCAGCATAGATCTTGCCATTTGAAATGTGTAAATGATTACCACTTCAAGAAGCATGGTAACCAGCTTAAAAATATGTACCAATTCAATTCAACTATCTGCCTGAGGGGGATATGCATTTGTCGAAAACGTTCTAAGGGACTTTGGCTCGTATTCACGTTGCACATGGGAAAAACCAATCATGTAGCCCACTCGTTCGCCTGTGATCGAACCAAGGACGAACTACTACTACGTCTCCGGGGCCACGTAAAAAATTGTATCACTGCCTGATAGCGTGCATTACAATTTGTATCAAATACAAGTCATTCGTACACATGTCATTTGTACACATGACATACCTATACCTCATCCTATATTAAATGAAATTGTTCTGCACAATTTTTCCCTTCTAAAAATATATTATTTGAAGATCTTAAAAAGTCGATACATGATAAGTTATTTACTTTTTAACCCTTTCCGCACGCTACCTTTTAAAGTTGGAGTTTTGATTTAAAAAAAAAGGTAGGCAGTCTAATTATGCCTAGAGGAGTGCACAAGTAAAATTTTGTGAAGATAGCACTTATCGTTTTAATTCTGTGGGTGTGACCAGAGGGGGCATACTGATTGAATAGAGCTTCGAAAAAGTGCTGAAACGAGCATTGTTGTCAATGAACTGGCCGATGAGATGCGGAGAAACAATGAATACAGACTCGCAGTTGTCCTAGATCATCGGTGAGTCCGGTCTGGGCACACCTAGGGTTCGCCGTTTGATTTTAGGCAAGATTTCAAAGTAAAAATTTAAAACTAATATAGAATAAGGAGATTAGCATACATCCAAAAAAATAACATAGAAATTTCTTTTCAAACAATTCCTTTTATACCCTAAAAAAAATTTGGAAGATTTCTTTGAAAAGTGAGGGTCTTAAAAAACTAAACATGGCTAAAATATATGGACTGGTTTGTGTTGAGCTTTCATCTACTATAAATGAAGAAGGTTCAGAGTGACCCTTTTTCATTCAATTTTTATGTGTGTACAGAAGGAATTTTCTAGGTGTGTCCAGACCGGACACACTGTGCCGCAAAGGGTTAAAGATCCCATATCTGAGCTTATTCCTGAAGAATTTATGGCATATCTGATCAGTGATCTTTGACTCATGCCGGCCAAGCTAATATAGATTCGGCAACATGCCTTCGTATGAAAAGTCACGAATCCTATGTTCGAAAAGCAAAAATAAACAAATCTTTGACAGCTAATCACATTTACTCATTTAACCACAATTTTTACTTACGAAAATTATATACAAAACTTCTTCAGTCGGTGAATAACATATAAACTTTAACTTCATCAGAAATGGATAGTAAAATCGAACTTCCTTGTAATAGTAAATTAATTAATTATTTCGTCGCTGGATAATGAAAGATAAAATACAATATAAATTTTACAGTTTTGCAATTAGATCACAGTTTCTCAAAATATGATTCGCGCTGCACATCATTATGCAACTTGCAACAAGAATCTTCATTCTTTTATTAATTAAAAAAAGAATTAAATTTATATTTACCACAATTTTGGAAATGATGAAATTATTTAGAATATTTTTTTTTTTTTCAGCTGGAAGAAAGGATCTATTAGCAACGATTAAGAAACTTAATTCATATCGTTTTTAACGCGCTCTGTATATTCAAACACAAAATTGATAATTAATGTTTATATTTAACTATCACTTGCAACTGCATAACATATAACTGTGATTTCGCCACTAGTAGTATTTCAGTTTTTAATTTTGGACTAAGCATATCATGCAAATTGTCCGTCTAAAGTATGTTTAGTGTAATAAGACAACTAGTCTCCTTTTCTGTAGCTAATTGTTCTTTTTTTCTTTTAGAATGGCTCTAGCACCAACGGATATTTTCATCAAAATGGTGATGATTTGCAGCATTCATCCAATAATCATCAAACATCATTGTTAAATGGATACGGCAATGGTCAAGCCAATCACCAGTCCTATTTGTACAATGGATTATCTCAAAAATTAGTGAATGGTCATGATAGTGACTTTTATGTCAATGGTGAATACAATGGTTATGAATCTAGTGAGTTCCAACCTGTTCAGTCAGATAGCCTCGTTGAAGAATGCCAAGTCTGTGTGGGTAGTAAAAACGGCATGGTGAACGGCTGTGTTTGCAAGAAATTGAGTCGTTTTCTTAGCTACCATCAATCTTTGCCTCGGAAAACTATGACTGCCCGACTCCAAACCGTAAATGGTGGGACGTCAGAAAACGGTTTCGACAAAATGAACGGCTCAGCCGTCTTCCATTCTGCTCAACAAGAAATAGCAGAAATGATCGAGAACTTGGACTTGGCCTGCAAAGCTCGACTCCAGGAATGCTCTGAATGCTTACCCAAAGTCAAACCTGGTGATTCGAAACTGGCCAAAGTCCGGGACACTCTCATTTTTGAATCGAGACAATTTGTGACTGCTTCTAAGCTGTTTGTAAAGAGTATAACTGAATCTTCCGACAAAATGGAAGAAAATTTAACAACGTGTTTAGCGCTGTTAGACCGTATCTTTGCTGTTAGTGAATTAGTTGTGATGGAAATGACATTACCTTCCCAAATTAACAGCCTAGTAGAGAAACTGAAAGAAATGGCCGTAGCTTATTCTAGAACTGTGCAAGCTGCTCATTCTGCGGCATCGGGTGAAATACCGAATTCTAACATGGCGGGTCTAATGCACCAAGCCACGTCTCTAGCCACTTCATTAACGTTATTTATGAGAACTTTAAGAACTTTCAACGGTCCTTGAGATTAGCGTCTAAGTCATTTAAGTTTATTTTTTATGTTAGCTAAACAGTTTTAATCTATACAATGGAACCCTAGGGCATCACTTTTGGGAACAACACTTGCTCCCGGTATGCAATCTGTACAGATAAAGCTCTGCATTTCACGAGCAGCGGACTGAATTTTACGTTCGTTCGCTCTTATTTGATTGGAAACTGTATAGTAGCGAGTTTGCAAAGCGTTTTCTATGTTAATATTTGCTTTGTGGAAAGCTTAAAGAGCACTAAATTCTAGCCACCAGTACACAAAGGCAAATTTTAACACGTTGTTTTTTAACAGCTGTGAAATATCAATCACTGAAAGTTTAAATGTAGTTCACAACAGATTATTGCTTTTACCATTTAAGTTTAGATATCCTAAAATGTTAAGTTTCCGGAATTCATTGACTTAACCCTTTGACTACGAATTAAAAAAAGTTACCGCGTTTTCTATCCATGTGAACAAAAATAAGGTACATTTAGCATTTTTTTGACAAACAGTTTTCAAGCCAAAAATTGGGACCCATATGTCCCAGCCGTAGTTAAGGGTGGGATACACATGTCCCATGCGTAGCGATCGACTTACTATAAGCACACCTACTATTCTGGAAAACTTTATTACATGAAATAGATTTTACATCGTATGGTACAGGGTAAAGCATTCTTTGCATAACACAACACTACACACTGGGCAACTCATAATTGTTCTCTGTGTTCATTTGTGTACATCGAGCACAGCGGTATCTTTATTTTCCAACTGTTGGAAGATGATCCCCAACATTTTGGAGATTGTAAGTACTTTTTAACCCAGCAGTAATTTTTGAACTTTTAGTGGGTTATACACGCCCCGTTAGTAGTCAAAGGGTTAAAAGTCGGCTTTTTGTATAAATATACAGAAAATTATTGAATAAAATAACCTAAACGGTGTTCCGGATTCAATTTTTAGAAAATGGAATATATTTTTTGCATATTTACAACAGATAAATGTTTCGATTTAAGAATAAAAAATAATGTCTGGCATTATTTTTTATTACTTTGCATACTCTGCAGCACCTCACTCTTTCGATGAAATTCGCAATTACTACTTCTTCACATAGCTGCTTGTTGAGGTTGGCTAATGGTACAATAAATTTTCTCATTAAGTTCTTTATCATAAAATTATGTGTTGTTACTGTTTGTAGGATTCCAAGTTCGAATTTTTTTTGGAACTTCCAATACTACTGTCACGCACAAAAGCGATGTTTTCAACAGACCAGCCGGATCGAGATCGGATCATCTGGATAGGATTTAATGGATACTGTCGAACCTAGACCTCGAATTTCTTAATCAGTCTGCGAATTGTTGTTTTCGTTAATCAGTCTGCGAAATGTTGTTCAAAGTCTGCGAATTGATGCATGTTCACGTCCAAAGACTCCACGAAACTTTTTAACAGTTTAAATGTGAGTGAGTTTTCACATTTAAAACTCACTGCTCCTTTGCTTAGTGCTAAGCTGAAAATAAGCTGCGAAATGAGCTGATAAGATTAAAATACCAATGTTGTCAGGTCAAATGAAACTCATAAAAATATTTTCCATTTTCTAAAAATAAAGTATTTTTAGGGCATATTAAATCTGGCACGGGACAATGTATAATTTTGCCATCTGTAACTACAATTTTCTCTCTTAACAAAAAAATGCTTACGTCGTTAAATTTTATAATACATGCAAATCTATTTCGAGAGTTTATGTGTGTTAAAATAATAAAGTTAAAATAATATGATAAAGTTATGTGTTCGCTGTTTAAAATACTTTTGCCTCAATCACACGTGAAGGTAACAGTCATAATCACTAACTAAATTTGTAATGTACACTCTGCACACAAAATAACAGTTCTATACCTCCTATGCTACTGGGCCGATTGGCAAAATTTAGCAATGAAAACATGAAAAAGCAAGTTAAATTTCGTCAATCGGCCCAGTAGAACGGGAGATATAGAAATGTCTTTTTTTTTTTTTTTTTGTGTGTGTGTGTGTGTGAGTATAGTTTTTTTTTTTTTTTGTTTTTTTTTTTTTTTTGTGTGTGTGTGTGTGTGTGTGCGCGCGCAAGATGTACAAAAAATAATTTTACATATTAAAGGAAATTACATTACGAACATTTTTGTCTAATCTTAATGCTTCTTAAAAAATAATAATCAATAGAATAAAATCATTGAACAAGCACATATGATTTGAGAATAATGTTTTATTTCTAGACGAAAGACACGCCATTTTTAGCTAATATAACTTGAAACAGGTTTTGGATCTGTTTATTAACAAAAGTGTAGTACACGCATTTGTTCACACTGAATACACCTTATTAGCAAATGCAACTCACTCGTGTGAAGCACACCCCTTATCAGAAAATACAGCAAGCAGCAGATACACAAATAGTCAACTAATGTATAGTGAATCGTTCTCTGTGGTGCTTTAAGGTTACATTCTTTGTGGTGAATAAAATGTACGATAAATTTTCACATCTGCATCGCCCTTTAACCTATATTCAAAATGGAGTTATCGCAAATGTAAACTCGACCAAAAATCCTAAAACACATCTGTTAAGAGGCGGTCTGTTAAAGAATTTAAAGTTAAATCTGCTCGGAATGATTGCTTTAAGTTCCCATCTTATATGTAAAAAACTACATATATGCTTTTTCAGTGATTATATAAATGACTAATCAAGTTGAAGTGTTTTTCAATCTTTTTAATGGTTAAATTATGATCTGCAACTACATTGCATGTTTTCTGCACATTTTATAAAATCACTGCAAGAAATTTCATATTTTTATTCTTTAAAATGTATCTATCATACGACTAAAATGTTATAATCGTATGATATGTTCGTTAATATAAAACCAAAACTTATATCTATCGTAAATAAATATTACAAAATATATATCTATCATAAATAAACAATTACAAAGTATATATACTTATTTAATAACAGTTTCTGAAATAGAACTTATTCCTTAAATAGAATTTTTCTTCGGTACTTATTAGCTTCTGAAGTGGCCTTGGCGGGATTCAGACTTAAAAATATGCGATTTGTTGCCAGATTTTAACAACCACGGAAACAAAATTGATTACCGTAAAAGATAAATTGAAATTTCTTTAATTAACTGTACACCACAAGTTATTTAATACATACATATAGAAGGAATTTAATATAAATTTGTATTTGATTATATCATTTAATTCAGTTTTGTTATCAATTTTTAAAAATAACAAAATTCGACAGAATTTATTCAATATATGTATTGACTATCGTATTTAATACAATTATGTAAGCAATTTATTTAAAATAAGAACATACGTAAACATGCAAGATAGTTATATTTATTATTAAACATAGCAGGAAATTTTTTTAAGCAATTTGTTAAAAAACATATAAACATATTAGAAAATTAATTTTTTACAGACATTTTCTGGCGGCCATAGTTTAGCAGTTGTTGCTAACAGTGCATCAAACTTGAACTATAGCTTCTTCCTCTTTTGATGGAAACATTATAACAGTAAGCACAATGAAAAACCTTCATATTTATAGAATGCAATTACACAAAAACAGTTTTAACTGTTTCTCGCCAATGCGAAAATGCGCCAAATCTGCTTTATCGCCAAACACACTACAGAAGACAAGTAACGTAGCACTTCCAGAAATGCGAAAAAAAAAAGGGTAGAATATTTAAAGCATCTTTACATTTCGGTTTATTTTAATATTAATACGTAAATTAAAAATTTAATCTAAATTAAGAAAAAAAATTAATATCTGGAGACAAAATCATACTCTTTTAAGTACAAAAAATTTATTCTCTCAACAGAGATTGGATAATTTTATTTTTAACGCAATTTAAAAAAAAAAAAAAAGTTTTTAAATAAATAGTTAAAGGTAGCTTAATTTTAGCATTTATTAAATAATTGTTTTTAAGATAAGCTGTTGGTAAAATCATATAAGAGCTAGTTTTTAAGAGATTTTTATATGATTTAATTTTTCTTAGTTTTTCGATGTATGAAAATTCTCGCAATGCTTCATTGTATATTCCATTGTATCTCGAGTTTCTATTTCATGTTGTTGCCACATCAAGAATTACCAAATATAACCAAGAAAATAGATCTCTATTTGAAATGCTGTCAACTTTCTGAAATAAAATAGAATACTCAATATATATGATATGGTAACAAATTTTGAATTCTGTGCTACTTAAATGTTATAGGACGAATTCGGACTATAATTAATGTAAATTATATGAAACAAGGGCTTATTGCATAGGTAAAAAGCCTCTGAATATGTACAGTTATTTTTTAGAAAGAAAGAAACAAAAGGCCAGCTATATAACGACTTCATAAAATAAATGTATTGAGGTCAGTATTTGTATATTCATGTCGTAGTGCAACATAAAATGTGAGAATGTGTTTATGTGATGTAGTGAATGTAATTTGATAACTATAACAAATGTTGTTTGTAAATAGCACTTTTTTGACTGGACTTGCCTTGCGATAGTAAGATAATCCATTTGAGTGTCTCATACAGTGTTAACTTTTAGAGCATTAGTGAAACAAAATTAATGCTGTCGAAGAATGTGAAGACATTTATTGATATAATAAGTAAATTTATGATAATTAGTATGATGCATTATTTATCTGCTGTTGATGAATCGTATGAGAGCAAAGCATTTTTAACCTGGAATGTAAAATCTATACATTATATGTGAACTTCAATAAACATTTTAAATGTGAAAAAGAGTTTTTTTTTTTTTTTTTTTTTCCCCTTCAGTTTAAGTTCATAATTTTGCATGACATACCAGCTTTAAGTAAGCGAAAAATAAAATACAGTTAAAAAAGTTCTCATACAATATAAGCTTTTATTTAAAATTGATATAACAATGAATGCACTAAAAGCAGAAAAATAATTTATTACACAGTTTAATGAGAATAATAGATTAAATCATTTTATTTACAGAATCAACCACAGATCTATAGTCCGAATAATAAAATCGTAGAGCGACTTAAATAAAGCGCTCTAGCTATAATAAATTAAGAACGATAATGGCTTGTACATTTGACAACACGATGAAATTAATAGAATTTTTTTAAAAAATAAAGGTTTAAATGAGGGTTGTTTAAATGAAAAGTTACGAAACGTCGTGACAACCAAAGGGGGCTGAAATTTGAATTTGCTGGTTTGGGATAACGTAGTGAGTCATCTAGGGACTCGAATGTAGTGTCCGGCATGGTTGTGCACATGCGCTAGTGCCCACGCATGATGCAGGAGAGAAACAAGCAGCTGTGTATTGCGTCTAATTGACTCGAACATCATGACATTCACATTGCAAAATCTCATGACTAAGGAACAGCGAAGCGTTATCAGATTTCTGACTGCGAAAGGGCTTAAACCAGCCGACATTCATCGCCCGGTGGTGGGCGTATATGCGGAAGACTGTGTCCGACAAGTCAGTGAGAAAGTGGAACGCCCGTTTCATGAAGGCGGGGAGCATCCAAGTGATGCCCGAGACCAGACAAGCAAATACGGTAATCACAGGCCGAACTCATCTACAAGATAAATTATCTGATGAGAAGAGATCGGCGTGTCACAATGCGATTATTGGTAGTAATGATGGGGGCCAGCGTTGGAATACTGTGGACAATGTGCACGACAGGTTGGGTTACCGAAAGGTATGTGCGCAGTAGGTTCCGAAAAAGCTTAGCGAGCCGCAAAAGGAATTGCGTATGGGACTAACACTACTACATCTGTTCCAGTATCATGTAGACCCCGCTTTCCTGGAGCGGACGTCTCTGGTCACGAGAGCTGGTGCCATCATTTCAAGCCAAAAACAAAGCGGGATTGCATGTAATAAAAACATACGTTGTCACCCCTACCCCTAAAATATTCAAAGCTGTGCTCTTAGGTTCAAAGCTGTGCTATTCAAAGCTTTCCTCGAGCACGAAAAAATCATCGAGTGACTGTGAAACAAAGCTTACGCAAGTCCACCAAGAGCAAACGGCCTGGGCTGCTCACATAGGAAGGGGTTCTGCTTCACGATAACGCGCGTCGCACGTCTAAAGGCCCGTTTCCACTGCTGCGTATGCGTTGCGGTGCGTATGCGTTTCTCCAATCAGCAAGCGAATTCACTTTGATTGACATCTGCAATCCGGTCGGTGTGCGGTGACGGATGACATACGGATGGAGTTCAACAATGTTCAACTTCTATCCGTATGTATGTCTGCGGATGCGTTGGGGTCACGTGGTGAAAAAGGAGCAATTAGGTGCAGTCACTAAAAATTAATGACGGCAGAAGTAGCGATGAACGCTCGCTAATAAGGAAAGAATGTTTTGCTAAAAAATACTTATTTCTGAAAACATTATAGCGAGAAATATGCGTGCTGAAAAAGACAGCAATCAGCTGAATTTAGTTAAAAAAAGATAAGAAAAACAAGATAACTGCAACTACGGTACTTGTTCGTTCAAGAAATTCAGTTCAAGGAAATCAGCGGCAAAAATTATAATTCAAAGTCCATGAAATAGCAAAATTTGTTCTGATAATCATATTTTAGTTCTGCATACTTATTTAGCTTTAATGAAAATGAATGTCTGACTATATCAAACTGCTATAGCAAATTAGATATGATTAAAAGATTTGCTATTTTTTTCTTTTGAAATAGGTAAAAACTAAAAAGTTAATTATAAATTAAATTTGATAGCCTTTTAAATATTCCACTGCATTAAAGAGTATGTTAAATTTGTATTTCCCTTT